GTAACGAAAGCAAAAGAGATGGAAAAGGCGGCGACTATAGGGAACACAAGACAGCTTTACAGACTAATAAAAGAAACTGGAATTAATAAGTCAAGTGTAAGTGAGATTATTTCGGAAAAAGATGATACTCTCATCTGCTCCCAGTCCAGACGTTTAGAACGATGGGCGGAACATTTTAGAGAACAGTTCAGCTGGTCTTCAGCTACTCTACAACTACCCTCCATTCCCAGACAATGTGAATGGAACATTGAAGTAGGTCCCCCAACTCTTGCTGAAGTTCAAAAGGCTATAGTTAATCTGAAACGAGGAAGGGCAGCTGGTCCAGATGGATTGGCTCCAGAGGTCTTTAAGGATGGTGGTCCAATTTTAGCGATTAGGTTGACTAATATTTTAGCTAAGATCTGGGAATTAGACTTTATCCCATCTGACTGGTCGCAATCACTCATCGTCCCAATATATAAGAAAGGGTCAAAATCATCCTGTGACAACCACAGAGGGATTAGTTTAACAAACATAGTATCTAAAATACTGGCCTCGATAATTATCAGACGCCTAACTAAGACTCGTGAACTACAAACTCGAGAGAACCAAGCTGGCTTTAGACCTGGTCGTGGCTGCATCGACCACATATTCACCATTCGTCAGGTTCTAGAACACAGGCATACCTATCGGCGTCCGACGATGGTGGTCTTTCTTGACTTAAAAGCAGCGTTTGACTCTGTAGACCGCGAGACTCTGTGGCAGTGTCTGTCATTGAAAGGCGTACCTCAGAAGTACATAAACCTTATAAAGGCTCTTTACTCGAACACTACTAGTCGAGTCAGAGCTTATGGCGAACTGTCATCTACTTTTGCAACTTCAAGTGGTGTCCGTCAAGGCTGTCCACTTTCTCCATTTTTGTTTAACTTCATCATAGACCTATTGATGGAAATAACACTCTCGTCGACTGAATTCTCGGGTATTGATCTCCTACCAGGAGGTCCACTTATCGACTTAGAATACGCAGATGATATAGTCCTGTTTGGTGAAGACGCTGACAAAATGCAGAGTCTTCTAGTAGCACTAAGCAACAATGCCAGAATGTTTGGGATGCGCTTCTCTCCCTCTAAATGCAAGTTGTTGCTTCAGGACTGGTGTGCGTCAACACCTGAACTAAGGATAGGGAGTGAAGTAGTCGAACGCGTTGACAACTTCACTTATCTTGGAAGTCTGATCAGCCCTAATGGGTTGGTGTCTGACGAAATCTCAGCACGGATTCGAAAAGCTCGTTTGGCTTTTGCCAACTTACGTCACCTTTGGCGGAGGCGAGATATCCGTCTATCAATAAAAGGACGAGTATACTGCGCGGGAGTCCGTTCTGTCTTACTTTACGGCAGCGAAACATGGCCATTAAGAGTAGAAGACACCCGTAAGCTACAAGTATTTGACCACAGATGCCTTAGAAATATTTCTGGCATCTGCTGGGATCACCGGGTAAGTAATAGTGAGGTTAGACGCAGGGTATTAGGGAATGATGGTAAATCAGTTGATGAGGTTATGAATCTTCATCGACTGAGATGGTTGGGCCACGTGTTACGTATGCCTGAACACCGATTACCACGACGCGCAATGCTAACCGGTGTAGGGGTTGGTTGGAAGAAAGTTAGGGGCGGCCAAACCAAAACGTGGCATCAGTGCTTGAAGTCACTAACTTCTAGTCTGAGCCATGTTGGTAAATGCAGACTACTTGGTTGGGATCCGCGTGACTATCGTAACCAATGGTTGGAGACTCTTGGTGACATGGCTCAGAATCGATCACAATGGCGTCGGTGTATACACTCCCTGTCTTCCCTTAAACTAAGAGATTAAATCACTTCATATCTTTCTTTCTACGAACTAATTCTTCCTTCCTATACTATATCCTTATTGCAACCTTTGACCTAACCACTCTTATGAATCCGGTGTTCATCTTGTTGTGCTAATGAGGTATGGCAACCTGGACCGATGCACATATGTGCCTGGTCCTACGTTGTAGCTGACTGACTGACTGACTGCCTCAATGCAACTATTTCGTTCTAAATGGGTTAAAATACACACCTTGGATTCCACTGCTACCCACAATCCATCAGTCTAAACAATTTATGGCGAAGTGGCCATATAGAGGTGTGGAGATATGTCTGACAAGCTTATTTTGTAAATAGTTCTCAATGTTATTTGTATTTACTTTGCCAATTTTTCGGTGTATGTACATTTATCATTAAATGACTGTACATGTTGTTTAAGTGAATGATCTTGAACATACTTTCCGTTGTGTAACTTACATAGCATGACATACTGTTGATTGCTAACAAATACATTGTTGCACACATATCCCTCGTTCTACATTCATTTGTGATTGAGTTAACTGAAGCCTAAATCAAATATTATCTACATTTACAGACTGTGATTGGGAATATATCATACCTTACATTGGATTGTATTATTGGAGAGTTCATCAACTTGGTTGGAATCATCAAGCATTTATAATTGTGGATTATCAGCACCAGACCAAATCCGAACGCGCATCAATTTGGTGATTTTAAGTAAAGTCCCTATTTTCTATTGTATTTGTAACAATTAACTTATATACATTAACATTACTATTGATCTTAAGTAACTTTGTTAATATTTTTAACGCTCGTACATTGTCTGGTCAACCACAATTACCTGATGAGCCTTGAATCCATTATAGAGGTTATACTGTTTACATTTTTTTTACTTGATACACTGGTCTATTTTGTTTTTCGTACCATGTACTCTCCCAATAAACTTATCGATATGGATAGCCCACCAACGAATCCTCTCAATTCCTCACAGTCAGACGATAAAATTTTAAGCTCGATCGATACTATTTCCGAGTTAAGACTACGCATACTGGCCTACGATGGATCAAGATATCGAAAACATGCCGCAATTGTTCATCGTGCCTACAAGCAGCCAAAAGTCCAAGTAAGTGTGAACCGCAACAATGGGAAAAGCCGAATAGTCCCTGGGAGAGGCTGTATGCAGATTTCGCCGGTCCAATACGAGGAAGAATGTATCTAGTCATAGTAGACGCGCTCACAAAATGGCCACAAATCTACGCCACGGTGAATTGCACAGCCAGTGAAACAATCAGCAAATTATCCGACCTGTTTAGCTGCTTTGGAGTTCCGCAGACGTTAGTGACCGATAACGGCTCACAATTCACTGCAGAATCATTCAAGCACTTCTGCAACGTTAATGGCATTGTGCACATACGATCTCCCCCGTATCACCCTCAATCGAATGGCCAGGCAGAGCGCTTCGTGGATACATTGAAAAGAGCACTTCTGAAAGGGAGAGGAGAAGGGACAACCGGGCAGGTGATCGCAAAATTTTTAACATCCTACAGATCCACTTCGAACCTGAATGTTCCAAACGGCAAATCTCCCGCGGAAGCCATGTTTGGAAGGCGCATTCGAACCGTCTTCGATGCCATGCTGCCATCCAAATTAGTGGATCAGCGCAGTCACGATCCAAGTATCCGAAACTTCAATGTTGGCGACAAAGTTTACATTAAATCCTACATCGGGAAGAACCGATGGGAGCCGGGCGAAGTTGTGCAAAAACTGGGAAGAGTACTGTACAGAGTTCGAGGAGCTTTTGGGACATGTATACGCCACACAAATCAAATCCTTAAGGACAAAAGAACGGTGCAGACTCGAAGTAACCGGCCGATTTTCCCGTTAGATTTAATCTTAGACGCACCAATGCCACAAACGCCCAGGAACATTGAAAAGAAACCTTGGACAAGGAAGACGACAAGAATAATGGGACGCCGTCGCAACCCAGTCGGTCAAACTACAAGTAGATCCCAGAAAGAAATCTTATTCGGGGGAGGTGTTGGGTCGGCTTCCCGAGAACTTCAACGGAGCCTCCAGAGGCCCAGAAAGGAGCCGAAGGGCCCTAGCCAATCAGAGTATGATGGAACGTTCGAGAATTCCAGCTTGGCGTGCTACCATTGGTCGGTAGCATAATATGACGTTTACGGGTTGGCTGAAATATGATGTTGATTTAACAGACGCCAACATCTATAAATACCCTTGATTTTCTGTACTAAAATGAACCTTGGGATAAAGTGTTTTCTCTCATACTTGTGTCTTCTCTCTGGAGTTCAAGTCGCTGTGTAGTTCTAGTTTGCGGGTTACGGGAATAGCTTAGGATTCGTATATAGCGTTCAACCTACAGGACTTATCAGTCCAGTGCTTCCAGGTTTCGAATGGTGGTCTAACTTAGATAGGTTCATAATTCCAATGAAATTTAACAATCTCTGCAACCCTATGCTGGAAATTTAGCGATTCCGTGAAAGAATCAACTTAGACAAAGCCGAGAAATGTCATAAATTCAATTTTCTACTAATTAGGATATTACAATTAAATCACTATTGTTGCTATGAAAATTTAGTAGTAGTTTTATGCTCCTTGTACGACCGCTTCGCTGTTTATTACGAGCCACTCTATACTAAGGTTACCGTAAGGAGATGCAATCCCATGATAGCCGGTGACCAACGATTGGTTCACACGCCATTCGTTCCTTCAGGATACTGGAGCCCATGTGCACCATTGGTTTGGAATCAGGGTTTTTCAACTCCCCTAGTTGGATCCTCCATATCCACCGACCTGGTTAAAGCGCCGGACATTCGCTTTTCGTTCACAATTTGGTAAACAACAGTAATGCCACGAGAAGGCAGTAAGACTTCCCTGGCAGAGGCTATATACGCGTGGCCATGTGAGAGCATTTCGAGAGGGAGGGCGGACTCTCCCCACTCTCGGCCGTATCAGGGCATTTGGGGTCATTCTTTATATATGATGCTCTTTAGTTGGATTCTAAATGATATTAATTAGTTTCGAGAATCGATTTTGAAAACGAATCACAATGCATAAGGAATTACCGTTATAAGAGAAAAGCTGCCTTAAAATTGCATGATAAAGTTAAAAGAACGGGCATAGAATCATACTTACTTCATTTGCAACATCACCAACCAGATTAACACCACGTTTCAAAAATCGCCGACCAGCGAAATGTCTTGATCTACGAGCAATAAGAGTAACCATCATTGGCATTCGGCAAGCAGATAAGGCTATTTGACTAATACTACCATGAAATAACAAAGTGAACCATTCAGGCTGATCACTAATGAGACGAGAGCCATTACGGTTACACCCTGGTCGAAATCTCGGTGGAATTAATCTCCAATTCCAAACATACTTATCATTGGGTATATATTTTGATGTTAGCAGATGGATATATTCTTGACAATCAGACTTATATAACTTGAAAACAAAAAGAAATCAGACAATTACACACGCTCTAAATAGCATGATACCTATGTGGTATAGCTTATGGAATAGATACTCACATATGGGACAAGAATTAAGTGTGAGACTTGCATGTTCACAGAATTATGAGCATACTTTGACTGGCATATGTGATCGAAAACTAACTATGTATCGTTAAATCACAAAGTAATAAGGAAATCTAAACGAGATGCTCTGTAGAACATGTTTTATGAACAATAAATATATATTTTAGTGTTACACTGGAACAGTAATGTGAATAAAACTTGTGTATTTATTAGCGGAATGATATATTTTTTCATTGTGCAAAAAAGTAATATTCATAAGAACGAGAGGGAAAAATATAAATTCTAAAAGAAGTATATGTAGATGTTTCTAATAGCTGAGTGTTTATCACAATCCAAGAAAAAAGAGCAGGATATTTGGAGAACTACATCGTGTAATGGTGGATATCAACCATATCGATTACAGTTCGCCAGTATAATTAGAAACATCTACAACACTGATATTTTTGCGACAGGATTTTTTAAAGGAAAAACAATCTGGTTGGATCGTTAGTGAGTTCGAAACAAAAGTATAGGTTTTTGGATCATTAGTGTGTGGTTGACATAGGTTCATGTCAATAAGCATGAATGATGCCCAAACATTTCAACAAGTTTGCTTAATAACTATAAGAAACTAGCCATCAATCAGTATTCTTGACGTTTCTCAACAAAGAAACTTTACACAGGTGTTGAAGAAAGCTAGATAGTATGATATAAAACCGTGTAATCAAATGTTAAGTATGAAATTTCTGTTGATCAAAAGGCAGGACGACACACTTCGACATTGATAACTCTCTTTTTAAATGGTATAGGTTGAACACTAACCCGTATTTGATCCCTTCTCTTCCATATAAATTTATTTCCACCTTGATCGCTTCCTTTAGGGTATCAGACTATACCACCCATTACTATTTGAGGGTTTATGTTGTTATCAACATCCGGATCTGGTAATATTTGATTCTTACCTATCGTAATGTACCACTAATACTAAGCAATTGCATTTTACCTATTTAAAAAATATTTACATACATGTGATAGAATTCCTTTGCCCTTTTAATTATTTAGTTTATGTTATGGGTGTTACCCATTGAAACTTCGTTTATTCCAATAAAACCTATATTTTGCAAATTAGTGCAGAATAAATGCCAACTTACAGGCCTGATCAGGCTTATACAAATTTTTAGGTAATAATAGAAATAAATTCAAGTCTACTTTATCTGGAATAACATGATCTCCAAGTAACTTAAAAATGAGTATTTTGAATAAATTTTACAAAGCGAATGTGAAACAGTGAGTGTAATAGATAGCATAAAAGTTTGAGTGGAATGATTTTACAGTACGACATTTAGTGATTGTTTACACTCCATAGCAAAAGATAGATTCAGTGGTGATAAACTTATCAATAGTGTGCAAACTGATAATATATTCAGAAATACTAAGAATATGATATGAATGAACCGTTAGTTATGTTTTGATATGGACGGTAGTACATGTTCACTAAAGACAGTACATGGAACAGTTTGAGCACTATAACTTTCAGTTAGTTTATTTGCACTATTTCACCGAACCATTATTGCCGTTTGGGACAGAGTTGAATTAAGAGGTACTACAGTATATCCAGTTTCTCGAAGAAAAATAGGTATAACGACGAAGCAGTAACATTGTTTATGGGTTCCAATCAGGTTACTCTCACATACTAAAATGCCTAATAGCTCCTAAGATACCGGCTAAACTTGAGAGGGCGATACCAACAAGAAAAAAGTCTAGCTTATAGGTTGCAAAACTATCACGTATTCTGGAGACCGAAGTACAAATATCACCAAGCAGTAAGGATAATAGCATATTGTGATTTTATTTCTTTCCAGTTATAACATGTATGTATTCATCAGCAACAAGAAAAATAACAAAAAACAGGATGAGGAGGAAATCGGTAAAAAGATTATAGAAATACGTCTCATACAACACTATACACACACATTTATTCTACCTCAAATTTTATGTATCTAATTATTTCATATCAGCTTGTTTTCTGCAATTTTTCTCACTTTTTTTAACTATTTAGCCATTTGGTGATAACTAATGTACATTTAGTAGACAACGAAAATTAATAATAAATGAAATTATAGAACTTACAGGCTCCATATTATATTGTAAACTATGAGATAAATCATAGGTGTAACTAAAGTAAAAGTTGCTAGCTAAATCTACACTGCTAAATAGCTTTAAATATCGCATTTCATCACTGGAGAGTTTCTTACGTCCTATAGAACTTTTAATAAGATGAAATAATCCTGTTTGTTGTTCATCTTCATTAGAGCAAGAATCGTTATCGAGATCTTGTGAAACTGTACTATTTAAAGAAGACATTGAAGAATAATGACTTCTGGAACCATTATTTGCAAGTCCACGTTCATCAACAAAATCATTGCCAGGAATATAAAGTATAGCAGTATCTTCAACCTTTGAATACAAGAAAATATAAAGTGTTGAGACCAATGTGCAATAAAAGGATAGTAAAGTGATTATACATCAAATTAGAAAGTCAGTGTAACAAGTTTAGATCATGATAATATTTAGAATGGGCTGTCATAGGAATTAACAATTGCGATTTAGATGTATTACATTATTGAAATTTATCAAAGGGACTAATTGCTTTAAATGGCGATTTCGTCAAGCTATTTACCAGTCAACTGGGTGTATCTGTTTCTGTCAGTGATATGCACTTAACAACCACCAAAGTATAATCGTATGGGAATTTCTTACAAGGCGGAAAAGTTTATCAACTTTATTAGGTGTGTCAAGAACAGAAATACGGCTAGATATAGAATAGACGAAATATGGCTAGCAGCGGAATCTAGGACACGCGTTTTTTCTTATCGTCATAATGATCACATCAGGATAATCCGCGCAGGATGCCCATATGCCAACCAAAACTGATTGAGTTTCATTAAAAAATATCAACAATGAGGTAATCCAAACCATTTTAAATTGAGTCAGAAATACTAGTTTGAGAAGAAACGTACCGTTTATCTTCTGGAAAATCAACGTGTAAGTTGATAGGAAAAATCTACGAAATTAAGTTCCAAAACCAAAACACTCATTGTGTACGGGCTATCGATACTAACTATTTGCTTGAACAGAGTAAATTAACATATGAGACAACAAGAAGTTTTCATACAGAAACTAATGCAACACATAGTTTATTTCCATTTTCCGAAGGGAAATAGTAGGGATAACTATTAGTTTACGAGGCCTTTGACCGATTGTTTCTAACCAAATAAGTGACTAATCATAATGATACTTTAAAACAAAGAATAAATTGGACATCCTTCCACTTCATTTAATCCAGTCATTACAGTGCATCAAATTACTAAAACTTAAGTAAAAGTTGGAGGCTAAACAAATGAAGTGTTCTTCAATGCACATGATTAAATGTTTGGTTGGAGATAGTTACTACTACAAGGTAATATCTATCGCAAAATCAATGGAAATAATGAAAGGTTGTTCCGCACTGTCAGGCATATGCACTATGTCAAGACCTATCGATACTAATAAAAACCATGGAATTGAGTTTAGTGGATTCCATATCCTTTGAAAGTGTAGCTTCTAAACATTTAAAATTTTGATGAGACAAGTAATTAATGAAAATGTCTTTTTATGCGACTACAGGTAAGTAATTACTATGACATCGTAAAAATATAACCAATGATGATAATTTAAGTTGAAATAATAATGATTGCTTACCATATAAGTTGTTCATGAAGTGGTAAACTCCATGGAGAACTATGCTGTCAATTAAAATTTGAAAACTCCCAGTTGATGGAGTTGAAACTATGTGTCCTTTAGGAAGGGTCAAGCATGAAGTCATATATTGATTGAGTCATTTAATTCAGTTATTTTAAGCATAATAACAGTGTCTTATTAACTAACTAATAAAGCCCCGTTTTTCCAGCTGATTCGTTTTGAATGAAAAGAAAAACAAGAAAACGTTTAAAACGTGTACTGACCTTACAGATTTGATGTTCACCTAATTGTGCAACCACTGAGTATTTAGTAATTAAGATAAGGTAATAACCACGTAGAAATCGTACAACTCCAACGACCCCATAGCATTTTGTAACTAAAACTAGAGAACGTTTACTGCTGCCAGTGAACAGAGCAGAAGCTGCAGCTTGCTGTAAATCCTTTGGATTAGAAAGCATATCGTTAGATATATTTAAATTCGAAATGGATGAAGTTTCGTCGATTTTGGGCAAATGTTCCTGAGGCCGACGCTTTGAAAAAAGTGACCATTTAGGAGATTTTGATGGCTCCAACTTGTCGTTACCATGAGAACTAGTTTGTGAATGGAAATGCTACGAATATCAGAATATTTCACAGAATTACATAAGATAATTTATGAGTAGGGTTTAAAACAATATGCACAAATAAAACTGTAAGTGCAAATTAAAACAATTTTAATATTCTTATGACTACAAAACGAACATCATATATGCTATCTAAATTTCCATAATTTTGATTACTGGAGACATTTTTTACTCAAGTACACATAATAATTATTTGTCAGCAAAAATACATACTAATAGAATGAATGGGTTCTAAACTGATTGTCCAAGAAATAATTTATATTAAACTCATTCAATCATAGTTGCAATTAGGTCTGACACTAATGTATGTTAAGTTGCCATACCTCATATCAGTAAAGCGAACGAAATCGGAAAGACTAGAAGTAGAATGGAATAAAAAAGTAAATGCAACGACAGTGCACACAAGACAAACACATTTCGAAAAGAACAAAGCAGATCCAAGAAAGAAATCTGAGGAATGTCCCTTAACCCAAAGTCCAAGGGGAGATAGAGCATGAATGGAACTGCGCCACTGTGACCAATTTCGATCCATGTCACCCAGCATCTCCAGTTGTTGATCACGAGTATTACGTTGGTCCAAACTACGAAAAAAGTACCTTCCACCATAGGACGACGGGTCGACACTTCTTGTTTAGTTCATTTCCAACTATTCACAGCCCAGCCCTCAAATGCCCTGATACGGCCGAGAGTGGGGAGAGTCCGCCCTCCCTCTCGAAATGCTCTCACATGGCCACGCGTATATAGCCTCTGCCAGGGAAGTCTTACTGCCTTCTCGTGGCATTACTGTTGTTTACCAAATTGTGAACGAAAAGCGAATGTCCGGCGCTTTAACCAGGTCGGTGGATATGGAGGATCCAACTAGGGGAGTTGAAAAACCCTGATTCCAAACCAATGGTGCACATGGGCTCCAGTATCCTGAAGGAACGAATGGCGTGTGAACCAATCGTTGGTCACCGGCTACCATGGTATTGCATCTCCTTACGATGCTCCACTGCCTCGTGGATCAAACCGAAGGCTCCGGGTGTGGCCCCCTAAGAAAACCACCTGCTTCGGTTTGAGCACCCAGGTAGTATCACAGCCCTCACACAAATCAAATGAGATTTGTGTGGCGCATATGTATTTGGTGCCTCCTTGTACCAATATCTGTGTTACAATAAATAAATTCGCAACCCAATGGACATTAGGATAGACGGTATCTAGAAAAGAATGACAGAAGTCCCAATCACTTCAATCAGTAAGGGTTCATAAGCTCATCTACTGACTTTCCGCTTTCACTTAGTAGCCCACTTGGAGATTAGGCATTATCCAATGGGTAATTTTCATAGGCATGTGATACTTCGAAGACATGTACGGGGAAATAACTACAGCCTAAGTATATGTTGTGCTTCAACAGAGTACGCTTTAGTCGTACAACACTGATGCACATTACATTTGTCACATGACTCAGACAATCATAACCACATCAGCATAAAGGAAGTCGAAAAGATGAACAGTAAAAAAGTTGAAGTAATAATGGTATTAATGGTAGTGAGAAAGGCTAGACAAATTCCAAAAAAAGTGAAGAGTATAAAGATTGTGAAATAGTATTAAAACTCAAGAACATCAGAAAGACGAAGAGTAAATGCACCAAAGTTACTGAGACTGACCACAATTCATATCACTTATTTTCCAACCACAGAGTATTATTATTAGATATCATTATCGTGCGGATCCTAGCCACCCACTATACACCTACGGTGTTTGGACACAAATGACAGCTCTTAGTTGACAGACAGGCGTTAGAAAATGAGACTAGGTCGAGAACTTACAAAATCGTGACTTATGGTACGACCAAATAGCTATTTCATTGATTGTTTATCAATTATAATTGCATTTTTTATATTGAAAATTAGTATACAAAATTAGTTTAGTTTATTTTGGTTCGGAACCAATAATTATGACCGGCTACATAGTTAAGTAATCTGATCTAAGCCGTGTTTGTCTAAGACTATATTCATGAAGAGAAAGAAGAGGACAAGACGGTTATCTAAATCGAATTGTGTCACCTAGGATCTGACAGTAGTACATAATACCTCACGAAACTAAAAAGCAAAGTAGAGGAATTTTTACATAACTTTGTTGTATCCAGTAGTGCATACCCGATAAATGAAATGGGACGATACTCACTAAAATTCTAAGTCGATATTGCAAACGTACCCGACTAGTTGCCTGGATAACATGCAGCAATCGTGCTAATTCTGATTTGGAATAAATATGAGGATCCTCAATTATATTCAGACGCCATATTCGATCAACTAAACTTTCTGCTTCAACAGTTGCTTCAGAAGCACTACACTCTTTATCAAGCCACAAGTGATCTTCCTTTAAGGGAACAGGAGCACGAGCGATCTTGAGAATTCGGAAATGGCGTTCCCCAACATCAGAACCAACGAGGTAGATGTGCGAGGGGCTTTCATAAACACTGATACTCCTCATCCAATTTATGTATGGTACCTCCATAGCTGAAAAAACGTACAAAGTGATTCTCAATAATATCGTTAGGGATAGAAAATTTCAACAAAAATGAGTGCATAAAAGTTGAAACGTATTTTAATAGTCATTCGGATGAAAATCCATACAAGAATCAGACACTAAAAGTGGGATAATTATTCACGTCTTCGCACATGGCTACAGCTCTCCTGGAAAACATATTCAAAAGTAGGTTCGATGAAGAGAGATCCTCATACCCAAGATGAATACAGGCTTTCCAGTGTGCTACATTTTAAAGGTTAAACTGAAACTGGGTAACTATACATTTATTACCTAAGACTTAGCTTCATCTAGTTTGTAGAAAATTCAGATTATTCTACTGCCTTCTCCAGTAAAATCATTTTTTAGCAAATACACCAGCTTTACAACCTATCAAGATATAAATGCTTGGCCGATATATTTATAGTCAATCATGGCATCTAAATGATCGCTCTTACTTGTTTCACTAAGTCCCGCAACTAAACACCATATTGATACAGGAGCCAAGATCACGATCAGCGATATATGAACTTTGCTTGCTGATATAATGACCAAGGTCATAATTGACTGGGGAGTGAAAGGCCTACCATACATTTATATGCATACATTTTTTTATATCACCTAAGCCAAAATTATCCCCAAACGATTGTTTTCAATCCACAGAGGGTTGCATAAGCTCTACAGTTAATATGTATATAAAATAAGTAAATAATTTATTTATAACTTTAACCCCAATTCTACTCTGAAATACCTAATTGTAAATTCGTCTTTAAAAACTAGTAATCGTTTGAAAGTTAACATGTTGAAGTTTATACCTGGTTTGAAGGTACGGTTTATGTTGAAGGAGGACCTCCCTCCAGGCACATGAGAAGCACTAAAATTTGATGGTGAAAGCAATCGATGACAATTAGCAATCAAACAAACGTGAAACTAGGAAAATAGTTTAAACTATTTTCTGCTAAGATACGTTGACCTTTGGTTGTGTACTAGTGATTTTGACTCTTTAAACTTATATCTCAATATAGATGGACTTTCTATGTCTAGAAGCTCCAATCAACAGTTATGGCCTATACTTGGACGGATTATTGCCCCTCGGCTTAGTGACGTGTTCATGAATACACTTGGGTATCGGTTCAGGACATTGATTGTAAATGTATAGCCATCAATTGTATCAATTATATAGTTGTAATCCCATTGTTGCATACTTTATTGTAAATGCATTTTGTTTCATTAGTGTTTAAGTAATGATGATAAATCATCTACTTACGTCTTATGTTCTTTTCAGCCCACTAACAAGAAATACGTTATTGTTGACGTCCTAAAAAAACAACTTATGATAGCATCAAAGGACTGGATAGTTGGCAATGACCTTTTCCATCTTCCGAACGAGCTGGTCGATATACACCTGCAGAAGTGCGACCAACCGAATGAAAATTGGTCACTCATGAAATGTAAAGTGATTCACGAATTAGGTATGTGACATACACATAAAGTATAATTCACTATAGATTCTCTGCAGTCGGCAAAAGATCTGTTAGTGGCCCTACAGATACTGGAATCTCAGCGGAAAAACACCTCAACAGATGAAAACACTTTGCCACTTAACACTGAGAAGCCAAAAAGGTCTGTACAATAATCTTACTTACATTTCCTAGGGGTGTAATGAAGCGTAAAGAAGACTTTCTTTACAATTCAGTCGACATGGATGTGGCTGAGATGCAGGCTGGGAATAGCCGCGTACAATATCCCAAATTTCGTGTTTTCGACAAAGTGATATCTCCAATCGCCAAGTACGTTTAATTACTATTTAGATATTCACTATTTAGTTCAACACAATTAGAGACATCACCATCCACATCGGAATGTAAGCATGTTGGTGGCGCTGTATTGGACCAGTAAGGAACCTGCATTATCTAGTGACCTTTTTCACCTGTGATAGGTTGTACCCTGTGGTGTTGAAGATTTCGTCAGCTATGAATGACTTGACTAAAACGATTAACAACATATCGTCCGCCATTATAGACTTGAATGCTAATGTAAACCAATTGCTTTCAAAGTCTAATGAGCGCGAAAGACCGCATCAATTCGATTGCGGACTGTCAAGTCAGCAGTTCCCTTTGTCATCTGAAGAGGAACTACAGATGCTAGATACTGGTTTGTCGCAGAAAGAAACCAGGAACAGATTTGTAAGTCATTAACATGAATTTAATAATTTGTTACTAATACAGATGGCAATGGTCATTAGGTTATCAGGTGACGATCCAAAAACGTCCATGCGTTTTATTCTGTCGCATCTGCTGACACCGGAGGTGGCCAGTAAATTCACGTTACTTGGCACCTCTTCTAAACGAGCACTACAGAAATGCACGTTTTACAGCTGCATACGAATTAATCTATATCTATTCAGGTGCCTTAACTCATCGCTTTTTGTCATCCTCTGTCAACGAGAAAGACCTTGGTAAGCTCTACGACATCGCGACACAAGGTTACTTTCACATCCGAGACAAGATGATAAAACGAAATAGGAGAAAAGAAAATCAGGTATGTACTAATTTAAAGTGATAACCTCCCTACGGCTCTATAGTTACAGTCAACAATACTAACAAACATAACCGTAAGTTCAGCTTCAAGTATTTGGTTGTGCCAAAGCATGTCATTGAGATATGGTTGTGACTGTTTTTTTGTTTTTTTTTAAAATTCAGAATTCACAGGACGACTACCTCAATTCTGATTAGTTCGTACAATTGTTTTGATGTTGTACCTACATTTCAATAAACATTCTTTCAAACAGCTTACTCTTTTACCTATATGGGAAACTGTTGAAGTGTTGAGAATGTGTGTTTGAGTTTCAGTGAACTTTTGATTAAATGCACATTTCTTATGAATAAATTATAACCTGTTCGTTCTTTTTCAGATAATTTCAAATAACAATGAATTAGCAATTGCATTGGATATGCATAACAATCGATGCTTCAGCTTGTGCTCTACTGTTGTACAATAATACGCTTTTCTTTTTCAATAAAATTTTTGAAATATTCACCGCTTTTCCACTGCATTGCAGATATATTTTGGTCTGTTGTTGAAAATAAAGGCGAACATAGAAGACCTTTGGGGTTCTGTCGATGGATAGAAAATAGTAGGTAATGTGTGTATTCAGGCGAAAAGTAGACAATTAAGCGCATAAGTAGGCAATTCGGCGGATATTTAAGCGAAAAGGCGACAATTCAGCGGATATTTAGGCGAAAAGGCGACAATTCAGCGGATATTTAGGCGAAAAGGCGAAAATTCAGCGGATATTTAGGCGAAAATGCGATAATTCAGCGGATATTTAGGCGATAAGTCGGTAATTTGTCGACAAAAAGGCGAAAAAGGGGAAAATCTGCATTATTTCCCCCGGACAGGCGAAAAAGGCGACATTCTGATGCGTCTTCCCCTTTATTTCCCCTTTCGCTACCAAAGCATTTTCCCCTTTATTTCCCCTTTTTGGGTTGTCTGGGTTTAAATATATTTATGCGATAATCAATACTAGAAATTGTTAATCTGAGATCCCGAATTTTAAAGCACTTCTTATATGTGCATTGAATTGTTGAAGAGACTCACTTGTTTCGAATAATGTAATTCTAACTCCTGGCGTTCATCAAACCACTGACGAACCTCCAACCTTGAGGTTTTCAATCTCGAGCCAACTTATTTCAGTCAGTCTTTAGACTTCATTGGTAAGGATAGTAGGTTAGTGAACCTATGTTAATCCTGACAGATTGACTTCTAGTGAAGTTCCAGGTTCTCCTTGAAAATATTCACTAATGGAGCTGTACCACATGTACGGGTAACGCGTTCCAGTCATTGACTACTCGATGAGAAAAACGGGACCCCACTTTAAATTTATTTGATCGCAGTTTGTGAACCTTCTTGCTATGACCTCGGAGATTATTAATGCTGGAAGGGGCAAAAAGATAAGACACAATAACACGCAGATCATAATTAAAGCTACGGGGTCATCTATAGGAAGACCACTGCCGTCATCGACTATGAGAGTCGTATGCTGGGAGGACTATCCCGCTCTACGCGTCTCGGATTCACTCATATCCTGATTCCAGAGGACTTCAATCTCTCTAGAGTCAACTTCGCGGAACATACGTATACTGGAGGTGAAAACTCAATTGAAGCCCGGTTCTTCAACATCATTGCGGATCTGGGATTATACGAAAATGTGTAGTCGGCAACTCATTGGAGAAACAGTCAGATACCGTCGCGCTTAGGTTGTGTATTTACAAACGAAAAATTTCTAGGTGACAACCTCTAAATCATGGCTCCCCTGGGGAAAAGCGACCACGCCATTATAGCCTTCAGTCTTGTTAGCAAAACTGAGCTAAGATATCCCACCAACAACAGGTGCTGGAATTTCAAACGATTGAATGTGTCAGCTCTACACGACTATCTACAACAGGCGGTTTGGGATGTTCACACTCAACTTGGTGTGGATGCTCATTGGGACGTTTTACTACACACGCTCTTATGTGCTACAGAGCAGTCAGTTCCTCAAACGGTCTCCAATAGCTACAAACAATTTACAATTATCAAGACCACACCCTTCGTTTGCTAAGCCGCAAAAGGCACTCTTGAGCAGAATACAAACGAACTGACAATAAAGGTGCGTACATGCAATAAAACATATAAGGAACATATGCACGAAGGCTATAAGAGAAGACAGACTTCAGTACCAGATAAAGCTTATGGATAAATTTGTCTCCAATCCGAAAAGTTTATTCCATTATGCAGCCTGTCTTCGTCAAACCAAAACTGGAGTTTCGCAACTGCTAAGTCTCAATGGCCCGACCAAGAACGACGGCGAGGCCGCTAACCTTTTGGCTGAACAATACTCTCGGAAATTTCAACCGACCCACATTAACTATAGTGATGACAGCTTCATCTGCAACTTTACAGGACTTTCCGTAGTGAACCTGAGCGCTGACTTAGTGTTCCGGAAACTGCAGCACCCAAGAAAAGGCACTTCTCATGGCCCAGATATAGTTCACTCTGCTATACTGAGGGAAGCAGTTCCAATCCTGTCAACACCGCTTAGAGAGATGTTCGCACACTCGCTAAGCTGAGGCAAACTACCGGAAATTTCGAAGCTGGCTCACATCACACCAATTTTCAAAGGAGGTCGACGCAGAGAAACTTCAGGTTACCGATCGGTGGACCTTCCCTCTTTACCTTAAAAAATTATGGGGTCCCTGATATGCGACGGTATACATGACTATTTACTGTCCTTAAATTTTTTCTCACCCCAACATCATGGTTTCAGGAAGGGCTACTCTTGTATAACTAACCTAATGACTGAGGTGGACAGATGGACAAGCATCCTTGATCGCAAGGGGAAGGTCGATATCATTTACCTTGATTTCTCAAAAGCTCTTGATAGGGTTGACCACATATATCTTATCAATAAGCTCAAACGATTGGGCATCAAACCACCTCTAATTGATTGGCTCACTTCATATATGAAAAATCGACATTTTAAGGTCAGGATTAACTTCACTGTCTCAGGCTGTGGAATGTCCTAGCGGAATTCCACAGAGCTCAGCACTAGGACCTCTTCTTTTCTTGATTTATATAAGTTATCTTCCACAACAGGTACAGTCAGACATTACTTTTTGCTGATAACGTGAATCTTTGTAGAGAGAGATACGCAACCAAGAGGATATACAGGCACTTCAGGAGGATCTGAGTCGAATTCAAAGTTAGGCAGACGATAACAGACTTACCTTGAACAATTCAAAGTGTAAAGTAGTCCATCTGCGACATGTCGCAGACTACAGTTACAACTTAAGGAACCCCTCTCTAGTAGTATACCAAGTCGAAAAAGATTTAAGAGTGCTGGTGCCCTATGATTTGAAGTCTTACGCTAACGGTGACAAAAATACCATCCGAGCAAACCTTGCACTGATAACATTGAAGTGCATTTTCGACCAGTTAGACGCAAGAGCATTCCAAATAATTTTCAACAGTTTTATTCGTCCCCATTTAGAGTACGAAAACATAGTATTTCCTCTCTCACTCCAAAAGGATAAGGACACTCTGAATCGTATCCAACGGTGAGCCACGAAATCAGTTCGGGGACTCAAATTTAAACCTTATGAAGAGCGCCTCCAATCACTTAACCTTTACCCATTAGAGTATAGGCGTCTTAGAGGTGAACTGATGGCTTACAGTATCCTTAACAGTTCTTGACATTCTCTTTAACACCCACTTAAGCTTAGTCCCAATAAAAACCTGAGGGGTAACACCCAGATATTGGAGATACATTACAGCAGAACGGACTGTAGACGCAAATTCTACTCCTTAAGAGTTGTCAAATGCTGGAATTTCCTGCCGGCCAAGCTAGTCCAAGCGACTCCCCAAGAGTCCTTTAAGAGGCAACTTGATCTATTCTTAAGGACTAAGGATAGTATCACACTATGATCCACTAATTTCTTTTCCTCTTTTATTGGTAACGTACCTGGGTTCCTGCCTGGAGGATTTGGTGATCTCCTGCTACTGGACACGGAAGCCTGTTAGGCGAAAGCTTCTTCTATTCCATCCACAACCATTTGAACCATTTGAAATGCTAGTGATGATGTCACAGGTATTCAGTGTTTGACAACGCTTCTACCAGTAACACCTTCTAATATATTTCGTTCCCGCCCACTGATGGCCATTCTAATTTCTTCCTTCGTTGGTGGATTGACGTCTATGGGAAGATCTGTGTGTTCTGCCTCGATGTCCGGTGGATTCATTGGAGCCGGCCTATTCAGGAGTTCCTCGAAGTATTCTACCCATCTGTTCCGCTGTTGTTGAATTTCGGTGATTGGCCTGCCTTCTTTGTCTTTGGCCGGTCTCTCTGGTTTACTGTATTTCCCTGCTTGTTCTTCGTTATATCGTATATTTCCTTCTCTTGCAGCATTTTCCGCAGTCGTTGCTAGTTCTTCCACGTATTTCTATTTGTCGGCTCTAATGTTCCTCTTCACTTGCTTGTTTATTTCTATGTACTCAGGTTGTTTTTGGACTTTCTCTGTTCGTGTTCGGCTGTTGTTTATTGCTGCCTCTTGTTCTCGCTTTCTTTGATCTTGTCCAGTGTTTCTGTAGAGATCCATTCCTTATGATGGTATTTCTTTAGACCCAGAACCTCTTGACACGTTGAAGTTAATGCTTCTTTGATACCTTTCCAGTTGTCCTCCATAGTCGTTTCTTCTTCCCTCACTAGATCCTGTATGGCTTGGAACCTGTTGTGAGAGCTATCTTGAATTCATTGAGTATGTCAGCATCTCGAAGGAAGGCTGTGTTGAACATTTGTAGTGCTGTTTGTCCACTTGTCCAGTTCTTCTTTAGCTTCAGTTTTAAATTGGCTACAACTAGGTGGTGGTCTGAAGCTATATCAGCTCTCCTGCTTTTCACATCTTCCTTTGTCCTTCGGAACTTCTTATTGATGCAAATATGATCTATTTGGTTCTCTGTGGTGTGGTCCAGTAAGATCCATGTAGCTTTATGTATACGTTTGTGTGGAAATATTGTGCCGCCTATGACCAATTTGTTGAATGCACACAGATTTGTAAATCTTTCCCCATTTCCGTTTCTCTCTCCCAGTTCATGTCGTCCCATGATATCTTCATATCCAATGTTGTCTATTCCGACTTTGGCGTTTAGATCTCCCATCAGAATGGTGAGGTCGTTTCTTGGGCACTTCTCTATGATTGACTGCAGCCGCTCGTAGAATTGATCTTTAATGTCGTCGTTGCTATCATTGGTGGGTGCATAACATTGGATAATATTCATTGTGATCCCCTCCTTCTTTGTTTTGAATGATGCTTTGATGATTCTGGATCCGTGAGGTTCCCATCCTATAAGTGCATTTCGTGCTACTTTGGACAGCATTAGAGCAACTCCTTGAGTGTGTGGAGAATTTTCCTCTTCGTGGCCGGAGTATATCAGCATCTCTCCCATATTTAGCCTTTGTTGTCCAGCTTGGGTCCAATGGATTTCGCTGATTTCCAGTGCTGCAAAGTTGTATCTCCTCATTTCTGTTGCTGTTTGACTGGTTTTCCGGGTCTCCCAAATTGCTCGGACGTTCCATGTTCCTATATAAATTTTTGCTCTGGTTGTTAGAAGGGGCATCGTCCTCTTGGCTTTCGAAGGAACTCGGCCTTCACCATGAGGCGTCCTATTTCTTCTAAATGAAGACCTTTTATCTCCCAGAGTAGAGTTTAAATGGTTTGAATTATTTTTTCTGGTTGGCGTTTTTTAGCGAGTTAGTCTTCTACGGGATGGGGTCGCTAACCCCATGCCCAACCCTCCTTCTTTACCCGCACTTGGGACCGGCAGTAATTCTAGAAGTGCTACAGGCGGAGTTACCTACTGATCTATATAAAAACATATTTTGTGTTAACTTACAAGAAAATTGAATTATCATTTCGAATGAACTCATGTTATTGGTAGTAGTTTTCTAGTGATCGTAAACCTTAAATTATTTAAGAATCATTCTATACTAAACCATATTTCAAATACCACCAGCTTGACACAGATTATGATAATGATCTGAGTGAGTGAGTAGACACGATTTATTCCGTGAAATCTAGTTTCTATTTTATGGAAATTTTATTAGATCTGATACTAATCGAGTTATATCATTTGTAAATAATCCAAAATATCTATTTAATATAGGACACTAAAAATTGCAATATTTTCTTAGTAAGCGGTTAAGGAAATAGCCAGCATGGAAACATAAAATTAGTAATATAGCAGAGTGAAAATAAATATAATTTACGATATTAATTGCAACAATCATTAAAAAATCGCAGCTATTTGATAAGCATGTATTCACCAAATGTGATGAATAATACAAATCTCTCATGTTAGTAATATGTTTATTTTTCAATAAACTGTCTGAAAACATATAAAGCGGAATAAATAGCTGCACGTTAGAAAGAAAACATGTACTGAAAACGAAGTTAAAACAGCCTGTAAACAATCCTACTCATATATACGTAAGGATATCACAAAAACTGGTCATTGGTTTAACTTCAGGTTTAAAGATGAGGGCTCGGTATTTAGACATTGATAAGTAAATCAATAGATCTTGGCTTAACAGTTCGATACCTAAAGAGATGGTGTTTGCACACTGCTGATGAGCAACATACTAGGACGAGATAATTATCCAGTGTTTTCTGATATTTCATGGTTCTTTCACCAATTATCGTTAGTTATGAAATTAATTTGTTAAAATTTAGGTTATACAACATCTTATTATCGTTTCCAAATGAAACACTGAACAGTTTAAATGTGTTTACGTCTTTCAACATTAATTTTTTAAATTGCAATTTCTTTATACTTTTTTTCCAAACAGAAATGAACGTTTTCTTGTTTTGGATTATTGTGACCGTGCATCAGTACAACCTTTGGTTCAACGTAGTGGTGATCCGTTTAATTCTGGTACAAATTTACTAAAGAATCCTAAGAATTCTATTTCTGCCGAACCCCTTTGTCACATTGATCCTTCGAATGATGATTTAAAAGTTGTTCCGCAGAAATTTAAACGGTTGCTTTCACCAGAATTTGAAGATGATGTGAATAATATTAAAAGTAAAACTAAAACGAAACGTCATAGACATTTTAAAACTACAGTTGATTTTAAAAATTTGTCCGATTCAAATAATAATGATAATAAAGATGAGACAAATATAATTCTTAGTCATAGTGAAACAAGTGAATCGAATAAAGAATGCTCCAGTTTGAATGATAATAATCATATGAATAACTTGGCGAACATCTCTACTCATGATACTAATACTGCAACCAAAGCAGCAAACTCTCTTATTACCAGTAGTCTTAACACAAGCAAAACAACTAAACTATCCAGATCTGGAAGCAGTTTAAGTGGTTATCAATTACGTTTCAATCAAGAAAAAAATAGACATTTAAAATCAAGTATATTTAATACATCACAGCCAAGTACTCCGGTTAATTGTAAAACAAACATTATTCACTTAAAACTGCTTGGTAGTCATAATGGGACTTGTCTTGAACTAACCCTTTCAACTAATGACAAGTAAGTTGACTGAAATATATTTGAAAATAGTTCACATCATGAATTATGTTTATCGGTTTCGTCTTCGTATGGGATCACATAGAATAATATAATCATAAATAAAAGTGTAAAATACTTTTAAGCTATTCATAGAAAGTCTATTGATATGAAATGTTGACTTTTAATAAGAAATGCTACCTAAAATGGTAAGTTGTTAATATACACTGGTTTATACAAAGCAGATTATAGCACTGTATTTTAACAAATAAAAGATCATTCTTAATTTTCACAAAGAAAACAATTCTATTCATACGAAGATTATAAATATAATGAAATTCATTCAGTTTCTTCTTTGGATTAGATCAACCGAAATGAGTCCATAATAAATACTTCATCTACTTTCATTTACATAAGTTTTACTGGGTCGTAAGAATATCAGATAACATATGACTTTTTGATTGCAAAGCATAATTACTTAGCAAAGATACAAGTATTATATATTTATATATTTTTAATAAATTAAAATTTGGAAATTGTTTAATGATGAACTGTTCAAAAGTTCAAAAATTATATTCATTTAATACAGTAGTTAGAATCAAGTTGAAGTGGAGAAACTTTTAACTCATCGTTCAACGTTCTATGGAACTATAATTTATGAATAACCTTTTGAGTTATAAATAAGAACTTTCGTCTAAATTTAAACGAATAGTTTCACAATATTTGGGCTCCGAGTTGTAATTAAATCACCTTGAGAATGTTCACCTACTTACTATGGTTATTAATTGGTATGAGGAATTATGATTTGTATTCACAATTGAATGTTACAGTAAGAAATTGGGATTAAAGTTTTTATTACCAATCGACATAAGCTATAATACCAAAATGATATTCAATTATATGAGTGAATGAATTTCACTCAAACATTCAATACCTGCTCTCTTAATTCTAAGTGGTTTGTCCATAAATTATAGTCTTGAATGATTGCCTACAGATAATATTTTCAGTTAAATTGAATTCTCATTGATACGTTCCTGTTGTTAGTTCTTTTATATTCAAGCGTAACCCAAAATGACATGATTTGTAACTGATTAACTCAATTGAAATGACTAATAATTTTTTTTAAAAATTTCATTAAAACATAAGATGCCAAGTATTACCCTATATTTTGAACTTTCTTTTTCTCTTTCAGTAAAGAATTCGAAAGTTGGTGTAAAGCGTTTTCCGTGTGAAATAATCATTTTTACTAATGTATCAATAAATATTAACAAAATTTACAAACGGTAAAGCAATATATTGTTTACTTTTAGCAAGGTATTTTCAATTACTTAATATCTCAGCTTTACCAATGATATAATTTTTTGATTGAAATAACGAGTCGATCAATGTTAGACCACCATTGAAAGCCTTGAAGCACTGTACGGTCGTCTAGTCCTAGTATAGGACTTCTCATCAGTGCGCATCGACAATTCCACATACGGGATTCAGACCTAGGACCTTCAGTCTCACGCGCAACGGCCTAACCTCTAGACCACTGGGCCGGTATTTGATGTTATTAGTATCCAACTAATCCGTGTTGGGTTTGAGGCAGTTACCCATCGAAGACAACGGAAAATAGTCATGCGATTTCGTCGATTGGTCGAATTTAGATTTTAACACAGTTGGATGCCGGCTCAGTGGTCCAGGGGTTAAGCATTCGCATGTGAGATCGATGGACATGGGTTTGAATCCTGTGTCGGTAATCGTGGGTGCGCACTACTTTGGAGTCCCATACTAGGACGACAGGACCAACCAGTGTTTTCGCATACATAGTTCCCAAATAAAACTGATCATATATTCTCATATAGCTCGATGATTTATATCTCAATAAAAGTAAGCATTCAAGAGAATCTATTCATATGTCTTCTAAAAGAACATCACAGACTCAAAAAGCCATATGATCCATAATATGTAATAGATTGGAAACACTTAATAGTAGATTCTTTCTTTGACATTATTTACACGATCCAGTAAAATTACTAAAGTTCTAGTTTAATATTATCTTTTATAGCAAAAAATCTACCTAACTATATATTAATAAAAAGCTATACATATAAAATATGTTTTAGATACTACCCGTTATCAGATATATGTGTAAATATGCAAAGATTTGATAACACACTAATATTTCAGGCCATTTTCTAATTTGAAGACAACTATCTATTATTAAAGATATACCCATTTAGTGCTTAATACACTTCAAAAAATAGTGGGTTGTTTCATATTGGTAGACAATAATAGAATTTTAGGATAACTTATCACGATATTCTAGTGTATCAGTTATTGCATACCAGAGTAAATAAATTACTTAGAATGACGTATAAACCATTGAATATAAATATAATTTTTTGATAATTCATATTTACTAAATACTCAATATCAATAGTGATATAAAGCTTAAAGTTGTACGTTTGGTTTTAGAACAAGTCAATGAAATAGGTTCTCTGATATAGTGAAGCATATGATGTATTGGACTAATTGTATAAATATGAATGTGTTTTTGACTTTCATCCAAACAATGATTATAAGTAGTTTGAATATTTTAAGGTTATTAGTCAATGCTTTCGCTATGGAAACTCACTCGTTTGAAAGTACGTGAGCTTGTATTTGGATTTTTTAAATAGTTTAGTATAATTTCCAAAAGATTTGTATGATGATTCATTAAAAAGTCAAATAAATGATCCTATGGAACAATAATCTATGATCTATGTTCATGGTTCTTTAATGTATTTATTCAACACAATAGTATTTATTATTATGTTCAGTGTTAGTAAAATGAATTGATTGAAGGTGTACTTTGATCAAAACGGAACATATTAATTCTTCAGAAGGACCATGTTATGTACAGAATGATGTTTTATACTTTATCATTTTCATTACAACAATCATTTTTGAACTAAATCTAAGTAATTTTAGCACAATGTAATGATGACCTTTACAAAGCTATTCATATAGTGAATATTGCTTGGTATTTATTTATTTATTTATTTCAACAAATAAATATTGGTACAAGAAAGCACCAAATATATATGCGCCACACCATATTTGTGTGTGGGGGGGGCTGTGATACTGCCCGCGTGCTCAGATCGAAGCAGGTGGTTTCCTTAGAAGACCAAACCACGAGCCTTTGACCTAAAGGTTTGACCCACAAGGCAGTGGAGCATCGTGAGGAAATGCATTCCCATGGTGCCCGGTGACCAACGATTGGTTCGTACGCCATTTGTATTCTCAGGATACTGGAGCCCATGTGCACCATTGGTTTGGGATCCAGTTAAAGCGCCGGAAATTCGCTTTTCGTCCTCTCATTTTCGTAAACAACACCCCCGCAACGAGAATGTAGTGTGTAGGACTTCCCTGGCAGAGGCTGTATACGCGTGGCCGTGTGAGAGCATTTCGAGCGGGAGGGCGGGCCCACCCCACTCTCGGCCGTACCAGGGCATTTGAGGGCATTTGGTATTTTGTCATCAATGTAGAGCAAAAACCAAACAATAGGTCCATTAATTGTTCTTCGATATCTAGTCAATTTAATACAGTTTTACACTGAATAGTTTATGTTCTACCATGAAAATTTTATCAGAGATTAAAATTAACTACGAATAAATTAAACAGTAAAGTACAATGTACAGATAAATATTGTCAAAGCCTCTATTTTACTCATAATAAGCTAACTCTTGATCCATTTAAACAATAAGTAACAAAGAGTAGGATGTATTCACAACGTAGACAATAATTCAATGATTTAATATTAAATTCTGTCAGTCAAAATCTTAATGTTGAACAACGCGCTTGGATTATGATGTCTGTAACAAAAAAATATTTCATTGTCGAGAAATACTTCTAACAAAAGTGAGAACAGGGTAAATATTTACCCATTATAATATTTGAATACATTTTGTCTTTTCAAGTGGCCGTTATGAATTAGAGACCTCCTCTGATATTTTATGTTGTTCATTTTGTATTTGTTTATTAGAATCTCCCCCATTGATGTTTAGGCCTGCAATTGATCAATATCTTGTTGACATATGTGCATCCTGTACGGATTCCCTCGATATTGCCTTAATTCACAAGTATTATAAGCAGAGATGGATTATGTCTATGAGTAGAATACAGGACCAACGTTTCGTCTCATTTGGGATTCGTCAGCTAGATGTACTTGCATCTCAGAGTTAATGTTCATTCTGAGACTCGAACCCAGTACCATTCAGTCCAAACACTATCAATTTATCCACTTAGCTACTGAGTCCTGATAGGATGAAATGCACTTCCTGTATTCCACATCTAGTCACTATCTATCTTTTCTTATAATTCTATTTTGTATTCATTTTCATGTAATCATTTACTAATAAAATATATTTTTTTCTAGGTTTGAATAATTGAATTTCAACACCTACAATCTTCTTTCGTCAATGATCATAAATATACATTGAACAAATATTTAAATTGTCCTACTGTATCCATCATGTGTTTATAATTCCTTCTTTTTTTGTTCTTCCAATTTCATCACTATTACAATAGTGTAAAACATATTTGTCCCATTTGTTTCATTCAAGAAAATCTATATAGTGTGTTAGCAATTAAATGGATTAATGTAATTGGAGATTAGAGAACAAAAACAGCATTGTACATGATAGTATTCATATTCATATTCATATTCATATTATTACTACTATTTGTTCTCATTTTTCTATTGTTTTTATCTACTGAGTACAGACAATTGAATTGATTGTATCATTCATTATTTATCATTATCACAATTATTATTATTATTATTATCATCAATCAGTAATCAATAATATTAGGAATTATTTCATAAAATGTTGATTAAGCTCATACTACTTACATAAATAATGTTGATAATGATGACGTTTATGTTTATACATATGAATCTTTTACATTTACAGTAATAAATATTCAGTAGAAAATAATATTGACTTAATGTTAAATTGTATTTTCTATGGTTTATTTAAAAAAAAGATAGAAAACAATAACGATTCTTTGTCTTGTACAAACTTCACTTGAGAGAAAAAGAAAAAAAAGGGAGAAAGAAAGAAAAAAAGAAGGACAATGTTTAGTTGATTAATCTGATAATAGTGGATCAGTAATTTTTCTTTTCTTTTCTTTTTTTCTCTTCACTTTCAATATTTAAATTGTAATACTTGGTTAAAATAGTAAACTAAACCACTTTCGAAACAGGATCATTATTCATATGTTGGTACATTAAGTTCAATATTAGAATTATTCAATTTCAAATAAGCTTCATTCAATTAGAGTACTACAATTTATATGTATATTGTAATCAATTTTGTATTATTTAGTGTTAAAATAGAAATGATTGTAATACTTGACAGTTTTCTGGTGTGTTTTTTTTTTTTAATTTTTTTTCTTCTTTCATTCTTTACGATGTTGCATGTGTTCAATCTCTTCATTTTATCCCTTTACATTTTGTTCTTGTTGTTGTTGTTGTTCATTTAACATTACTTACTCTCTTTAATTATCTTTATTTGAATTCTATCATGAGTATTATTTGTATTTTAATAATGCTAAATGACGTTACTTCATTTTATAATCATATACCTATATATACATTAATATTTTGTAACAAAAATAGAATAATAATGATCATAATGATTATAGAAAATAATATAAACAATTGTTTTCTTTTTAATGTCTTTATTTCTAAGGAAAATCGTGTTGAAAGTAGATATTACTAGTGTTATTTAGAAGGACAATAAAAACATTTTCCTGTTGAACTATTCAGATCCGTAAGAGATAGAGAGGAACTGTATCAAAATAATGAACATGCAATGTATATGAAGGTATAATCGCAATTGATTGATCACTGGATGGTGATCAATGTCATGTGTGTCAAGTCCTTCTTAGTGCAGATTGAATGCTATCGACCAAGTTGAAATATGGTCACTAGTCTAGATGACTTGACATTGCGCAGTAGTGACGTCTTTGACTTTGAAACTGAGTGACACGGGATCGAATTCATCAGAAAGCACTAGTTCCCTCAAGATTACAGGTACACCTTGATGACGTGTGCCAAGTAGCATGAAACCCGAATTGAGGGTTTCCTGTTGACTACTTCCAACCACCATCTTATCTCAAAGGTATAATCTACACAATATAGGATCATTGAATAATAACCATTATCAGCAATTTTTTGTAATATGCTAATCGCTTATTCTAA